GCCCACACCTAAGGAGTACAAAATGGGATTACGCATTATATTACGGTTCTAAGGGCAACTCTTATTTATTCACACTGCACGCAAGATTTCATCCGCATGATACTCGCGGATAAAAGTATTAAATACAAAACAGCCCTATCCTTTTTTTCTCTCGCGTTTAAGTTGGCTTAGCCTCCATGCACAGGTGCCATACACACTTGGCAGCGAGCCAATTAGGGGCGAAAAAAATGGGGCTGTTTTCTATTTCGTCTTAGGGGATACTCGCCAGAGGAAAAGTGTTTTTATTATTCACGATAACATAATTAAATTTTCACAGTGTATAGTGCTTGATGTCCGTTTTATAAGTTCGGTGTTAGTTTTGATAGAGCTTGTTTTTTTATGCTCCGGAGGCAAACCAAGAAAAAACATGTTTCTTTTTTTTTTTCGAAAGCGTGGGGCATGGCAATACACTTAATAGAGTGTAGTAAATTAAGCTAAGTCACTTTTTTTAACCCCCTGGGTGCAATAAACAACAAAAATAATGTTACGAGACCTCTACTATTTTATTTTAAAACTGGAAATTTCAGGAACGCCTTTCTCAAAGGGGCAACGAAGGTTTCTTTCAGTTTTCATAACTTATAAAATATGCATTGTAACCAAACCTTCATTGTTGCATTCTACATAACTTAACGCATATGCATACCAAATTTGGTAGTGATAGGAGCCCGACCTACAAAATCATTTTCCGCAAGGTAGGAAAATTCTCCTCGCCATCCTTCCCATTTTCCTCCCTTTCAACGCTATCTTGAGAGCGGGGCAGGGGGACTCGTCTTGTTGGTGCATCTTGGAGCTGGATAAGTCGGGATAAGCTCCCGGCTTATCCAGCCTGAAGACGCAGCAACAAAAATGAGCCCCCTCCGCCCCTCCTCGCCGTGAACACAGCAGTGGCTGAGGAGAAACTGAGGAGGGTGGCGAGGAGAATTTCCCTACCTTGCGGAAAATGATTTTGTAGGTCGGCCTTTAAGAACAGAATATTCCGTGCGCCAACCGGTAAGAGGTCCGAAAATTTAAAAACCAAATAGAAAAACGCGTTCGAGTATAACCATAGATCTCTAGCGATGGCCTTTCGCGGCGGAAAACAAATTTATATATTTTATTTTTGTAACAAATTTGAATACGACGGAAAGGAGACGACTAGGCCTACTTCTTAAAAAAATGTGATGGTGGGCAACGTCACAATTTGAAAAACCGCGCACGCGAAAATGGCTCAAATGTGTGCCTTTCTAATGGGAAGCCGGGAGTTCTCAAAATACGAGTATTTGGATAATTTCGCGATTATATTTGTACCATAATATTATACGTATAAAATATGAAGGTTCAAACATAATCCCAAACCTTAAAACAAAACAAAACAAAAAAAATATATATATGTACAATTTTTTTTCTCGGAACGTTGTTGCTATAGCATGAGATCACTGCTTCGCTCTTTCTTTTTTTTTTTTTAAACATACCTTGCTCAGGTATGTTTTTCAGGTTAACTTAATCCATTTTTACCTCCCCAGTGCACAGTGCGCGCTTGTCTGTTGTGCTACTGGTAATGTCTTGATTTTATGCAATTCTCCAGGGTGCTATCTCGATACTGCCTGCGGTTCGCGGCTTCCCGGTCGGGACTATCGACTGCACGGTTCGGCTGTCCCTGTTTGGTCAAGATGACGAGTGAAGCCACTTCGATGAAGTGTTTAAGATTCTTCTGCAACGGTCTTCTTGGACCTGCTCTTCCGAATAAACGAACATTTCTGTTTTGAGAGGACTTCATAGTGAACGTCTTTGGTGAATTTCGGCTGGTCTTTCGTGATGAATTTAAAAGCAGGAGGCAGGAATCGGCAATGGACTGGCATCCCACAGCTATCTGACCGTAAGTATTCCTTGGCTCGTAAGCTTGATTCCGTTTCAGCCTGACTTTCCTGAAACTATAGTGTTGCAGTGAGGAACGCGACCTCTACAGGAGCGCTTCGGAGGTTTGTCTGAAGCCTTTGTCATCGCACCGTGAGCGTAGACTGCATCGTTTTAAAAGTAAGGGCATAACGGATATACACTGCTGATTTGGGTTGACGTCGGAAATTTTCCACTGAACGGAACAGAGGAATGTTACGAAATTATTTGCCCGACAGTAACCTTGCGTCTGGACAGCGCAGCTGTCCAGCGGTTTCAATTCTGCCACCAAGCTGATGCACTTGAGCCAAAAAGTAGCGGAGCATCGCCGCCAATCTATTTTGTCGCGGCGGCACGGCGGCGGCATCTACGTATATACCAATAGAAGCGTGCTTGCAAACGGCGGCGCGTCACCGGCAATCATGGCAGACCAATGTGGAGAACAAGTTCGTCTGCTGCTTGCACAGGGGTTGCGATGATATCAGAACGCCGAGCTCTTATTGGCTGATTCAAAAAAGATGGTGGGTAGACCTCAAGGCATCTAGCATTGAGGTCTCCCCACTGCCCTTTTAATGAAGGCCAATCAGAACGCAGCGTCGTTCTGACGTTACCGCGACCCCTGTGCAAGAAGCAGACGAACTTGTTCTCCGCATAGAAGGCTCGGCGTCTGTATTTGGGATGCGCTGTGCGCAAAAGATGGCGACTCGTCGCCGGCATCCAATAGGAGCGCCCGTGTCACGATCAAACGATGGCGGTACTTGAATAAGTCAAGATATCCAGCGCTTTCATCCCAGTCTGCCTCGCGCGCCCAAAGCAGCCCTGGTTTTGGTAGAAAACGTCAGGGCCTGGAAATTGACGCCTCAATTTAAAAAGGAAACCGCGATAAAGAGTAACGGTTACGTAAAATATCCTACGCGGATGCCTAATTAATCACGCCAGTTAATGTGGATTTAGTAATATCCTTTCATAGGACGTCCTCGGGTGGCGCTGGTATCCACGAAAGTCAGAGCATGCTTTCGAAGTTGGTTTCTCCTGAAAACCACCATGGGAATATATTTTTCGCTGAACGTCGCATTTAGGGTTAAGCTGCAGCCTGCTCTCGAAGCTGGGTTCTCCTAAAAAAAACCGTGGGAAAATATTGTTCGCTGAACGTTGCATTTAGGGCTAAGCCCCAGCCTGCTCTGGAAGCTGGCTTCTCCTAAAACCACCGTGGAAAAATATTGTTCGCTGAACGTTGCATTTAGGGTTAAGCTCCAGCCTGCTCTGCAAGCTGGCTTCTCCTAAAACCACCGTGGGAAAATATTTTTCGCTGAACGTTGCCCGCTCTGAAAGCTGGCTTCTCCTAAAAACCACCGTGGGAAAATATTTTTCGCTGAACATTGCATTTAGGGCTAAGCTCCAGCACGCTCTGGAAGCTGGCTTCTCCTAAAAACCACCGTGGGAAAATATTTTTCACTGAACGTTGCATTTAGGGCTAAGCCCCAGCCCGTTCTGGAAGCTGGCTTCTCCTAAAAACCACCGTGGGAAAATATTTTTCGCTGAACGTTGCATTTAGGGCTAAGCTCCAGCCTGCTCTGGAAGCTGGCTTCTCCTAAAAACAACCGTGGGAAGATATTTTTCGCTAAACGTTGCATTTAGGGCTAAGCTCCAGCCTGCTCTCGAAACTGGCTTCTAGTAAAGTTTCTATGACCTGGAAGGAGAAAGCAGTGAAATGGGACGAAAAAGGTTTAGCCTTATGAACGCTGATATGAGGCCAAGATTTTCTTGATAAGGAGCTTAAAAAGGGGCATGGAACTTCTTATTTGGACAAAATAATTAACTTCTTAACAATATCTTTTTTTTTTTTTTGTCGCCGCGCTGATATAAATATTAATATACACGTGGTCTTGATGGTATTAATCTTTCTCGACGGTTTAAAGAGTATTTTAATGGACTAATTGTAATGACATTTTCAAGTGCCAGGGAACTGTGTGAACTCAGGACGCTCGAGAAGTTTATGGGTAGGGATGTCGCGAACCGGTTGAGGTTCGAGTTTGACCAGGTTCGAATTTTTCGAATTTCATGTGAAAAGTTCGATACATGTTCGACTCTGGTTCGATTGCTATGCGCATGCGCGGCAGGCTGGCTTGTTGGCTTCGGATTGGATGGTGATGGCTAAGGGATGAATTAAGGGCAGCACAGATTGGCTATTTCAGTTAATACAGTACGAAAGATTCTGTTATTAATTTCTTCAGTAATTACAATGTTTATTTTAATTGCAACCCTTCATAAAATTAAAACAACCCTTTGCATAAAAAAAATTCTCAAAACCTTGACATGCTTGTATCAAGGTCTGGCCACACTGTCCGCAAAGTCGAACCCGTTGAATCTGGTTAAAAGTTCGAAGGTTCGTCGAACCAGTCGAAGCTCGAATTTCGACCTAAAAATTTGGTTCGACAAAAGTTCGCGACATCCCTATTCTATTTACGGGATCTAGAAGCCAGACTGGCGCCATTTTCTAGCACCAAGGGAGGTAAACATTTTTCTGATAATTGAATTTGAGGCAAACATTTTTCTGATAACCAGACGCATTCTTTTTATTTTCGGGCGGCCTGTAGGTTGCTATGGCTTCTCGGAATTTGGACAAAATTACCTAATTACGTCTTAACCCTGTTTTATTCACAATAATGAACTGGGTATTGAATTACACTTAAGGTTGGTTCCGCCTGCAGCAACCAAAATGACACTCTCTGCCTTTTTCTGCCAAAATGTCTTCGTCATTTCCTGAAAGGCTCTTTGTAGATTACAATAATTGGCCCAACACCTTTTTAGGGAGTGCAAGTAAACGCACAGTGTCTACCAGATGGCGATTAGATGACATGCTAATTGCGTTATCTCATTCAGAGTGGGTTAGTTCTTAAAGGCAACCTAGAACCCAGGAACTACGGCGTCCTTACCTCCTCTTACCTTCTCTGCGCGCTGTCTCCGAGTGCGGCGCATGGCTTTGAGATAGTTTAACTCGCGCTGGAACGGATTACTGAACACTGTGTTTCGTTGAAATTGACTCCAGTCGAACAGATCTCAAGAGGTTCTGGTACAAAGCATACAAAGACGGCTTTAAATATTTTATTCAAGACGCAGCTCCTCTTCTACATCTTGCATGATGACATCGCACACCAAATGCGTCAATAGCGGCTCAGAGACAACTTTTTTTAGGAAAAAAAAAAAACAACAACACAAGACACGGATGTTTTCTTGTCGAGCACTGTTCACGAAACAAAAAAAAAAACAAAAAACAAAAAAAAAAAGATACTGATACGAAAACAACGAACGCACAAAGCAAATATGAGTCAAGCTTGCCGGATGTTTCTTTCAAGCTACAGAACGTGATAACGTATATCCACCCGTATATTTTGTAATGAATTAAAAGCTGCTCACTCGGGCAAAAAAAAAAAGCTGACATCAAACTGAGATGGGACGTTACACTTCAGCAGATGCTTTTCCGAATCGCACACCGAAAAATTACATTTCAAGGAGACAAATGGCGCGCATGACAGATCACTGCGTCCCATCTACTCTATACAGCCAATACCACCCAGAGACAAGGCCTGAGCACGACGTAATAGGGACCCTTTCCGAAAGTGCGAAATGATGCATAGATTATGCGCAGCCGCCATGATTGGCTCCGACTTCGCGCCGTGTACTGACGCGTCACTCGTGTGGGGCGCGTTTCGATCCGAGTGCACCCCGAACGCTGACGAAGCGCTCGCGTCCAATGCGGGCTCACAGTGCGTGACCAACTAATGGTGGCCGCACTTAATATTCTGGGCATCATTTCGAAATTTTGAAATGGGTCGATTGTGGATCCCCGACTGGCAGGCACGCTGAAACTTGACGTGAGTCGCCGCAAAGTGGCACACGCACGCACACTCGTCTTCTTGACATCGTCGCCTGCCAGCGTCGCACTCGTGACACGCTGCAAGACGCGCTGGCGGCGATGCTGACGCAAGCTGCGTGAATCCACTGGTGATGACCGGGGAGGGGGGAAGGCGCAGCCAGGGACGCCAAGAAAACTTGTAAAAGTACACTATAAATAGTCGCTGCTTGTACGTCTAACACTAGACTTACAACATACAAATCTTCTACGCAGGAAAAGTCCCGAAGTTAAGCCATGAGCCGCGAAGGCAGTTCTAGTCTGGCTCGCGAAGCGTCGAGGAAAAGCGACGAAACGTCAACGGCTGTTTCCTATAACTAGTACTAGACTTTTCTCACAGCCTGTCAATGCTCCTTTCTGTTCTATCGAGAGAATAGACAGCTGGCCGCCATAAACGGATAATGGTGACTTAGACGAAGGCAAGTCGCCATTATCATCATCATCATCTAATGTAATGTATACATAGGACACTGTATTTATGCGTTCTTCGGTGCTACGTCTAGTTGGCAGTGGTGACGAAGCTCGCTTACCAGAAGTAGCTTGATCAGCTTAAGTGAACAACGTACAATACGCGTTTGGCTGGAGAAGGGGGTATTTTTACCTGCGCATTAAGACTGCCGTGGGAGGGAGGTAGCCCCAGGTAATCTCAAGAATTGAGGCATAAAGCGATGCATGAAATGGTGAGGTACAGGGCATCAAAATGATATGGACTGGGCAACTAACAGGACGCTGTTCACTTGCCTCCTGCGCAACATAGTGACGAACTTGAGAGGATGGAGAGTCTAAAATGGAACTGAAGAACAGAATATTGAAAAAGGTCGAGCTCTCAGTCCGACAGTAAATAAAAAAAAACAAAGCGACAAGATATAACATGTGCTAGAACGCAAACATAAATCAAGACGTAAGTGGCAGAGTGAAGCGAAAATGTCATCGTATAAGAACATGCCAACGCAAGACGTACAGTTCCAAATCTGTGTCCTCCGCGGTCCAACAGTACTTCATCGATGAAGCCTCACGCGCACATTCACACGCACACGAGCAGAATCTTTTTAAGGTTACGCTCCAGGACAAAGTCAGTGCAGCAACAGTCCATCTTCGAAGCACGTATCTTTTTTTTTAAATAACATAACTGTCACACACGAAAAAAAATAAAATAAAGCACATCAAAGAAACACGCACGCACTAAAGACGCGAACAGCACCCCCGACTTTCACAAGCGGACGTTCTGGCTCTTCTAGATTGGTGGAAGCTATATGGCTGTCCATGGACGCATGGATGCTTGACTGCCCGTAGACTTGTATATGCACTCTGGCTGTCCGTGGACTTATGGAGGTTAAGGCAGCCTATGGACGTATAGAGGTCCCGACTGCCCATAGACTTGCGGAAGCTGTGACTGCCCATGGACATGCGAAGGTTCCGGCTGTCCTGGACTGGTGGAAGCTATGGCTTTCTATGAGCTTATGGATGTTTGACTGTCCATAGACTTGTGTATATCCTCTGGCTCCCCATGGACTTGTGGAGGTTAAGGCAGTCTATAGACACAAGTAAGTCCGGACTGTTCACAGACTTGCGGAGTGTCTAACAACATGTGGAGGCCCCGACTGTCGATAGAGTTGCGGACGCTGTCGGTATATCCATGGACATGTGAAGGTTCCGGCTGTCCTGAACTTGTGGACGCTCCAGTTTGGTGGAAGAGTGCAGTTGGGATGATGAACACGAAAGGTTTGGTCAGAGTGGAATGCCCTGGCTTCGTTGATGTCGAGTTTCTGGCTGGGCATTGGGCGACGGTGAGCCCTTTGTTCAGTCGCGCTCGAAGAACTGCCACCGATGGCTGTGGGGATGCACCTTCCTCTGCTCCGCGTGTTTGGGCCAATAGTCGGGTCTCTTTGGACAGCGGCCAGTTTCGACATCGTAGAGCCCGTACTCGCACTCTGGCACATGACACTCTTGCGTCTCCACGCACCTGGGATTTAACAAACAACGCAAAAGAGTAATGAGAAGGAGTGATCCGATACGAGCTCAAAAGACGACCCTAGCGGCTAAGTTGCAAACTAAACCTATGGAGACAACAACATCACATATACACACACATATATATATATATATATATATATATATATATTTTTTTTTTTTTTTTTGCGACTAACAGAACGCTTGGATGATGTAGCGCAACACTGTGTCAGCGTTCTGCGGGGACTTCTGTTCAGTCAGTTAAGCACCAATCGCACGCTCGTCTCCAATCTGTGTTCCGTGCTTGATCGAGGGAGACGAAGTAAATAACCCAACCTGCAGGCCATCTATTGGCTAGAAACACAAAGTTCAGTGGAAGAGAAGCTGGACAAAGCGCCCTGGCGCCCCCTATATTTCGATCTCCTTGCCAATAGATTCTTTCGTAGACTAGGGTCAGAGGTCACGAGAGAAATGCCCGCAGTCCCCTCTATCTTGCTCCGTTTTCCTCGAATCCACTTCGGCAATGGTGCTCTGTGTTAGCTATAACAAAATCCCATAATCGTCTTTATAAGCACATACGAACGGACAAAAACTAGCATTGACACAATTAATTTGTTAGTGTTATATCAATAACAATTCATTGACTAGTGGTAATCTAGAATTAAGTATTTAATGAATAATTCAAAGCCTCCTTGATGGCGTGCTCATTTATAAATGAAAACAGACAGCGATCTTGTAACAGACAGCGATCTTGCTATCCCAAATAAAGAAACGAGACGATCACGTTTTGAGTAATCTATCGATAAAATATGCAGGAGCCGGCACAGTACCGTATGCAACCAATTTGACTGCTAATACATCTAGGAAAAGACAGTCCTGCACATGGGCGTACCAACCCGGGGGGGGGGGGGGGGGGGCAAGGGGGGCGCTTGCCCCCCCTTCCCAGTTCTGAGAGTGGGGGGCAAGGCATGTGTTTTGCCCCCCCCCCCCCCCCCCCCCCCCCCCTGAAAGAGCCGCCACTGGGCAGGGCAGACACTGGCCGGCGGCGCCCAAGGGATACCAGGGGCACCGCCCCCGGCCCGAGGGGTGGGGGGGGGGGGGGGGGGTTGCCCCCCCTCCTCAAAAACAAGTTGGTACGCCTCTGGCCCTGCAGACACTGCATGAGGCGCGCCCGTTTCTTGTATGGTGCTGCTGTCACATTGGTCACACACAAAAAAAACAAAAAAAAACAGTCTCCATACATGTTCTAAGCACACATAATTAAGAGGCAAGCATGTTTCAAACATGCCTGGCGCATGTCCGCAAATACAGGGAGTTTACGAGAAACGAGAATCGTGTTTTTGGCTCGGGTAGATAAACTTAGCATTGCAGAAAGCCGTGAGAATGTGACGCTAGTGGTTGGGATAGAACGCGAATGTTTGACAACATGAAGTCAACTGCATCAAAATAGATTTGAGAAAAAGGACATTTTTTCTATAAGCCTACGTCAATCCAAGCTTAACATCGACAAAACAAGAAATGACACTATCGGCGCCTGTAGTATCTATTTAAAAAAAAAAAATACTTGTCAGCAAGAAAAAAAGCAATATCCTCTTTCTTGCTGTTTTCTTTTCTTAAATAGATGTTACATGCTGCTACGGTGTCATTTCTTGTTTTGACGATATTAGGCTTAGGCGGACGTCGGCTCATAGAGGAATTTTGTTTTTCTGAATTATATTTCGATCGATGTAACGTCATGTTCTAAAACCTTCGGCGTTCTATCTCAACCGTGAGCGTGACATTATCACGGAGTTTAAGCTTTCTGCGATGCATAGTTTAGTTACACGGGCCGAAAAACACGGTTATCGTTTCACGGAAACTCTCTGTACCTCTTTCATCGTGTCTGCAGCAAACACGGCTTCTTTTGTACGATGTAAACGCAATGTCACTGCGGTATTGCAATGCTCCGCGATGGGCGCTATAGAGCTATACCGGAAACAATCCGTAGTTCGCAGTGTTTCACGTGTCTTCACACTCCCTGTGTCGCTCTATTTAATTGGAAGGGTACGAAGACACCAGGGTCGTGTTTCTTTGAACATTAGTGAGTTTTTGTATTGCGTAGACGATCAAACGCAAGCAATGTGCGTTTGCGTCAGCATAGAGTGTTCCGCACGGAGTTGAAATTGCGGTCTTGAATTGGCGCATGGCGACGATGGCGTGTGAGCGGTGTGTAGCACGCAAGGCTAGCACAAACGCACAGCGCTTGCGTTTGCTCCTATATACGTAATGCTAAGACTCTGTTATTTTTACTAAAATTCTTACGTATACAAAAGCTCTTTATTTTCAACGGCGAGGTTCGGCTTGTGTCGACAGCTACGGTTCGTGTGCACGCCGTTAACGGCTTGTAGACCTTGCGCACGCAGAAAACACTGGTTCGTCCTTCATGACGCTAAATTTACAGCATCACCCTTAGAAGGCGCCCAGACTTCCAAAAGAAAGAAAGAACAGGACGCCTGGCATCGCCGCGAACGTAAGCTCTCAATTTTCTTCTGACAAAAATATATATAAAAAATGGCTAAACTACGTTGTGTGTTTCCGCTCTCGTTCCTTGAACGAGATTCTCGAGTTATTGTTTTATTCCAGTAATGACCCTATTACATATATATCTGAAATAATAAAGCACCTCAACCGTTTTATCGAGGAAACGATCCTTTTATTGTCATATAGCCGAAACAAGAAGTTTTTCTTTTGAAGCATTCAGTTCATACTTTGTCGAAAAAAGCGTATGCTCATAATGAGTAGGATTTAAAACGTTTAGCTTAAAACCGACGCAACGCGCAAGAAGTTTTCTGAACCAAATGAATAAAGGGAAAAAGCCACTTCTGCGAAATAAGTTATTTTTAAGCAACGAGGAATAGCAAATGAAAACTTTATCAATGGGCTGGATGGTATAGGAACACTGCTTCTCAGAAATTAAGCTTTTCGAGTTAAGGTGGAATGTAATAAACCGACTAAGTAATTCATCGTTTACCTTGAATTTGCCCTTGAACAATAGGGAGGCGATTAGGGTGCACGGGGCAACAAACTCTCCAAAAGCTTAAAACAGAACGTAATAAGATTAACATTAGGGCTGGGCACGTAATCAATTAACCTGCCGATTAATCGATGAATGATTTAATTGCGATTAATCTTTTAACCGGTTAATCGGTAAAATTTTGACTGACAAAAAAAAAAGTTAAAATTCAACGCTTTCACTGCGCAGACGTGGACGAGTGCAGCTGCATGAAGATAAACTTTAGGTGAAATGAGAAAGTTGTAGGGACAATATTTGTTACTCCAAACAAGTGGAGAAGGTTACATATCCCAGCCACTTCGACGCCATGTGAGTGTCCGTTTAGCGCAGCAGAGTCTGTTGTGAAATCAAAGGAGTTCGTCATTTACGGAGAATATCAACGAACCCCTTTGTTTTTGCGGCTCAAGTAAAACTTTGTGAGTGTGGGTGTCTTTTGACTATTCTCACCTACACTTCAAGGTCGATTTAAAATCCGAAATGTGTGCAGTGCGCCGTTTATCACATATTCAGCAAAGGTCAACAATTTAATTTGAACTTTTTGATACTACAGACATGGGGATGAATGGAACCGGTTAATCGATCAAGAAATTGATTAAAGGGTGGCGATTAATCGGGTTAAAATTTTTATTCGACGCCCAGCCCTAATTTATATACATAGGGCATATGCAAGGGATTGCATCAATGTAGAAAAAAAAATAGCTAACGTGAATAATGCAATGGGAGTGGTTGAGTACTACGCAAATGAGCATGCCGCGAAATGGCGGGTTACTTGTCTGGCTCCCCCAGGGCTGCCGAGCATATTTGAAGTTAGATAACCTATCCCATTCGAGCCGAGGAATGTTTTCTTGACTGCTCACTTGAGAAACTAGCGAGACATCGGCGTTGGATTTAGATATTGCCGCGCTTTGCTGCGTAATAAGGGAGTCGTCGTCTCTATAAAAGTCACCCTCGGTCATCTCTGTGCAGTAACAAAACACCCAAACAATCGATTCTAAGTCTCCATATGGGAATCACGAAGATCCGGTCATACGACCGTTATTCTTACCCTTCTGCTTGTCGGAACGCTAGCCGAGGTTCTAATAGTCTGAATATTAGTCTCCGAGCATTAGCTAGGGTCTAACTCCAACGTTTATTAGCGCCCATATGCTCCTCCACAAACGGTCTGTGGGAACGTACTAGCGTCCTTGCGTCTGGGTATAAATGGTCATCATGCAGCTACGGCTTCGGTTTGTTTTTTCTCTCACCAATACTCGTTAATAGACGCCAAGACCTCACGCAAACACTCCGACACAGCATACACTCTGTCTGGTTTACACATCCTTCAGCTAGTTCTTGGCGTCAGGTGTGGTGTAGGCCTTGGGGCAGACAGATATATGTAACCCGTCATTTCAGGAATTTTAGGAGTCGTGTTTTACCTTAATGGCACCGCAGCGAGGTTAATCTTTCGAAGCCCTCGCAAACGGCGCTTTTTTTTCCTGACCTTGACGCTCATCGTCGGTGGCGCCGAAGATGATTTCGTGCCGCTTCGCGCAGGGAACCGAAAATGAAGCCGCGGAGCCGCGAGCTTAATAATACCGCCGTGCCATTTACATTGTTGCGGGCCATTACATGCATCTGGGGTTTCGCTGTATATATAATGTAGAGGCCGGATCCTATCTGCGGGCTTTTCTTTCGTCCGTAGTTCGTCTCACATTAAATGGACCGCAGAGGGTACTATACGAGCCATCGGAGCCATTCCACTGTTATGTGGATGTGATGTGACTTTCAGCAGGAGTGCAACAACGCGCGGAGTGTAGGGTCACCTGATATACCCACAACGCTGGATTGGCTGAGATGGAATTGCACCGCTCGCCGCGGTTCATCTTAAGGTGATACGAAGTATACCCAATGTGTTTGTTTTCGCGTACCGGTGTCAGTGGTCACCATCGATCATCGGGAAGAACATTTCAGCGCAAAGTAATCACACTCGCCTAAAACTGCACAGGGAATTAGTGGTCGCTCTATTGTGCTGCATTTTTACTTGCAGATTTCTCGTACAGAAATGTCAAGATTTGCGGGGGTCGTGCGATTACTGCAGCAGGGTGTTCGTTAAAGACCAGAGGTTAGCAGTCATGTTAAACTGTCTAACCAGTTGTGCCCTCAAAGGGATAACTACCGCTCGCGGTCTAAACATTTAACCTACAATTTGATTTTTTTTTATTATTTTATTATGAAGGGTGTTTTTCATACCGCCGCCGCGTGCGAGCTCTTTGCATTACAAGCTTCTCCTACGAGTGCTGACCATCGCATTATAAGGTCATGGTCCTGCAGCTCCTCGAGTATAGCAGCGACTCGTGGCCTTCACCGCCTTCAAGATGAGGTAAAACCCTAAAGGCTCGTTCACACAATTGCGTTCGAGTGCGACTGCAACCACTTGCGCCTCGTTAAAAGTGCTTGCGTCGAGGTGTTGCTATGGCGTCCGTTGCGACCAGCCAGGGAGGCGCCGTGTAGCACGACACAACGCAGCGCAACGCAGTCGATGTAAATGTGTGAACGAGCCTTTATGCTTCATATCTATGAGGCTGGTTCACACGGCCCCGCTTTCTTACACTACGTTACGTAACGTTAGGTCACAGTTTACGTTTGCTTGCGCCACAAGTCCTCGGGACACATTAAGCGTTGCTATCAGTTCAAGGAGATAGGCAATGTTTCGGTGACTGGCCGTGTGTGAGCTATAGTGTTTAGCGTACATCGTTGTCAAAGTTACTTCCATCGCGTGCGTGACTGCATCTCGCGTTTTATTAGGGAGTTTTCGTAGACCACGTTTCCCACTCCACGAAGCCCTCCGCAACGAAGAAGCCGCTACTGCGCCTGCGCGCCGATAGCCTTGGCTGTAGAGTTCGGGGTATCGTAGCGGGTTGCGGAGAGCTTTGCGGGACGACGAAAGGGATCTACGAAAACTCCCTATTTATGCCGATATCACGTGCAAATTTACTGCGACATCGAGCCATGGACGCTATCGCGCCAGCAGCTTTGACGGCGTTGTCGCGGAACTCGTGGTCAACGGAGAAATGCTTTTAATACTTTGGCCAGTATTTCTGCATTTTAAGGATTATCTAAATTTATTCGCGTAATTTTTTTTTTAATTCATACTTACCTATTTTTTTTTTCGCACTCGGTCAATAGCGTAGACCAGCAACGGCCTCCACTTCGAGCGGCTACAAAAGAACGGGTGAGCGTCTCTTTCGAACGCTAGGTCTCCAGCACGCCCTCGTTGCCTTCCACCGTGCTTCGGCTGCGCGTGCACACTCGAAGCTCACGACACGCCGAAGCGTTATCGAAGGCAGGAAGCTCGCGCTGGAGGCGTGCAACTGACACTTTCCTTCCCGTTCTCATCCTGTCAGCGACTACAGCAGGATTAGAACGGCAGGGACTCAGCGAAGCGGCACAACGGAACGCAGCGTGTGCGTGCTGGAGGCCGCCGCCAAACTGCCAGGACAAGAGGCCCTTCGCGTCTTGTCCTGTCAGTGCAATAGAGAATAGACCATTCTAAAAATATCCTTCGGGGCGCTGCCATTTTTGTTCACTGGGCTGTGGAATGCGCTTCGAGCATGCGCAATAGCTATCTCCTGGATAAAGCAGACGCTGCGCTCGCGTTCAGAGACCCGTGACTCGACACTTTTAGCCTCGGTGATAAGCGCTGAAAAGATGTACAGAAAGCTAGCGCTGGACCCGGAGCTTCTACCTGCTTCTTTCATCGACTGAACAGTGCTACAGGCTCGTGCTAATCGTCCTTTTCGCGATGTCCCCGTCAAAGACGGAGCAAAGCTCTGTTCGAAGGCTCGTGGCGTCCGCACCTTCTTTGGAGGTCTCCCAGGGCGTCCCGTCCTCGCTTGATCTTGAGGCAGGGCTTCTGCTTCTCGAAGCAGTCGCAGCTGCATCGTCCGTCGTCGTAGCTCCGCCTGGTGAACGGCTCCGGACAGTTGTGGCACCTGCGGCCGAAAAGGATCGCGTTCGTCACTCGCACGAAATCGACTACGAAAAGTGACGTCGTAGTAAGGGCAGAAGGAAAAAGGGGGGGGGGGGGGGGGGGACGTCAGGGCAACACCTCCTTGATCTAAGAGGTCAGGGTACGCTCCTTTTCTCTTTTCAAAACACCACCGAGCAACACTGACGGTCGCCATATTTGGGCATCGCTTCCTGCGCGAAGATTTTAATCGGATCTGAGTTTACGTCAAGCGATGACGCAGCTCTCGTTTCCAACGCATGTTCAATGTTTATGCCCACAATATATGGCGGCCTCGGATACGTGACGCCGGCGAAATCGAAAGAGTCCTCAAGAAAAATACGTTTGTTTCGCAAAATAGAATCTTCTAATACAATTGATATTTCAACAAGCAACAAACACAATTTTAACAGGCCAAGCGAGTAGGCATTGCAGAAAAAAAAGTAAACTATACACGTGGTGACTTGATTCCAGATTTATGACCGGCTGGAATTGACCACTCCCTCTCACTGATCTTCCAGAATCTTGAAAGCCTACGATGTTCGAGTGCTAAAGCAACGAGCCAGTGCATATCCAGCACACCCACGTATACTACCATCCTCTTGGTGACATACGGCATGGAACAGCTTTAACTATAGCGAAGCCTTCCAGAGGTATATGTCCGGCCCTCCGCATCTCTTACAAAAAGAAATACAAAAATCGTAAGCGAAAAAAAAACAAAACAAAAAAAAAAACGTACACACATGTCGGAAAGAACGTCGGAAGATTCACCGTTGCGATCATCCTGGGCGTCATCTGTTTTCTCAGAGGACCTCTCCTTCTCGCCGTCGATACTCGCCCGGAATACCTAATCGAGAAGCTGCCCTTCCTCTTTCTCCAAGCAATTTGTTGCAGTAGTGTTACAAAGTGGGCAGGGTTCCCTAAGTGGCCTTTCTAAATTCGGAGACTGCTCGCGGGAGCTGAGAAAGATAGTTTTGTGCGACCGTTAGAGCCGCTCGAAAGGAGGAATGCAATCTTCGGAGCACTGACCCTCACCAAGTTGATCGCGCGCCTTCGCGTAGGAGTTTCCTTTGTCTAGCATCTGAAAGGATTGGAAAATGTTCTGTGGTCCGTAGAGAGCTGTAACTTCGGACGGCACGAAACATCCCTGAGCAAAAGAAACGAAGGTTAATGCTTTGCCGCCCTTGCTGATCTCAACAGAATATAAGACTTTGCACGTCTTCAATTTATGACCAGTTACTCGCAAGTGCGGGTAGTGGGCGGTGGCAACGAAATATTCGCCTTGAGTTATCAGAAAGTATTAATTCAGAAGTAGAATAAAACAGCCACAGTGCACCGGGTGTTGCGATGTTGCCTGAGCGCAAGCACCTCCATCCTGTTCAATGGTAGATACGAGGACATCACGATAATCTCTTCTCCACGTTTAAAAGATGGTACTATATTCAACAGTTACAAATGATGGGAAGAACTTAAAGAAAAAAAAAAGAATAACTTGTATTTAAGAGCTTTTTGTACATGCAACAGGGCATGCAACCTGCGTTTCAACAAGACACGCGCACGTGTCTAGTCTGTGAAACATTGCCATTCCACAGTTCATCCTCCTGATACAGACGGGCAGAAGCCAGACAAAAGATATATGGTGTAGAGTTAAGAGCTAGAGACAAATGAACGGTGGATAAGACTACATTGTCTTCTGGATGACAACATTTTTCGTTGATTGAATGTGTCCTTTGGACGCCCAGCATTGGCGATATTTTGAAGGAAGGACTTCGGTGTCTGTACCTAAACGTCGTTTTAGCTTGATACCATTGATATGGCGGGCAAAGGTAACCGCGACGAGTCTCACAGGGTTTTTCAAAGCCGCCACGGTCACTGACGGGACAGAAATGACAGTGAGATCTGTGAATTGCCCTGGCTCCAGCAGCACAGGCTACTGATTCTGGTGTTTTCTAACCAGCGCGCCCACGCTCGAAGGTCACGCGATACCACAAAAGCATTCTAGACAAAAAAAAAAAACTTGCGCTAGAGGCATGAATATTGAAACGCTCATCATTTGTTTCTGGGTACCCTGGCGAAGCAGAACCTCTCAAAAAGGAAATTAGTGTTTAAAAAGTCACTACGTTCCTCATCTTCGGATTACCGTCAGCTTCTTTTCCACCTTCACCACTTCCTTTCAACTTTCAACTTTGTTGTTCTCTTCAGAGTAGAGGAGAAGGGAGAAAGAAAAAGCAGGCTGTTGTCGCTCGATAGAGTTTCTCCTCCCCACCATTAGTCTCTTTGCTACCTTCACTATACCAGTATTTTTACTACTTTAGTATACTCACCGAATTAGTATCTTCACTATAACAGTATACTTCAAATTCCTAAAACTGTATTTGACAAGACTACTTAAGCTTTGTGTCTTTATATATCCGTCTCTTCGCTATATCCACCTCTTTGCTATGCCCATATTTTTCTATGTCTCTATATCTGCTGTGTCCGTTCCTTCGCTATATGCGTATGTTGTTCATACACTCTAAAAAAGGGTATCACCTCACACCTTTATGTCCCATATAATACACCCCAAAACTTCAGCTCGACGAACAGCACCCTATAGGAACCGTGCGGATCTAATTCAAGCCCCGACCAGGGCGCCCCTAGCGGCAAACGGGTCCGTTGCATCGGGCATCTTCTGCCAGTCGCTGCGTTGGTTATGCGTTGTAGTGGGTAGCGCTGTAATTTCTCAGATGGCTATTCCGCACCAAGAAAGCCGCAACAATTGCTGCGTGGTCGGCAAGATCGCGCACGGCACGAAGTACTACGTACTACATCGTCCCTTCGAAGCCGTACGAGGCGGAGTACTGCGCGACCTGGGTACGACTTGTGCGTCCATACAGGTTAGTGGTGTTTCTTACCTTCCAGTTCGCGCTTTGTTTAAGCTGCTGACGAATAATACAATTAACTTTTTTTCTCTTCTAGCGACGATGGAGCAGCATGACACCGACGGCAAACCCTAAAGTATGCAGCAAATACTTCACCGGAATCTACAAGCGGAATGCGGTCGCCCTCCTAAGCCTACCGTTGGATGTTTCCATCAGCCAACAGGAAGATAGTAAAAAAATCACAGAACGGCGCGAAAAAAAAAAAAAAAAATCGCCCAGTTATTGTCAAGCTGATTCAGAAATAAACATACATAATTACCGCAGTCCACTCAACGCCAACAAAATCTTTTTGTGGGCGCGCTTAATTTTGTTTGCAGAGTACGGCGCTCCGTGACGTCCACTCGTCCGTCGAAACGGACCTCCTTCACGTCGCACACGCGGCCAGATTCATGAAACAGTTTCCTCTTCTTCATATTGGCACCACGGAAGAAGCTTTCTTTATTCGTAACCGCCTTAAACCCCGTCGTAATCACCCCGGGAACACTTTCCGCTGTGCTGCCAATCGCCACTGCTTTCCCCCGATGATTCTGCACCGGCTACCGAAGAAGCTTTCCGGATTCTTAGTCGCCCACTGTCCTCTGTGCTGTTCGTTGCTATTACTTCGCGATGATTCTGAGCCGGCGGCACCGGCTTCCGAAGGAACTTTCCAAACTCGTAACTGCCTTAAATTCCGTCGTAATCACGACGGGGACGCTGTCCGCCGTGCTGTTCGTCGCCATTGCTGCCCGATGCTCCTGCGGCGGCTACCGCCAGGTCGCGGCGAACAATAGGCGACCGCCGCGACACGGCCGGCTTGCTCGCTTCCTATAGTTGAACAGACGACCCCAAATTTTACGAGAGGCTTGATAACGGCGCGATATAACTTTTTAAATTGCTAAAGTTCGTATCAAAGACCACATAAAGAAAACACCGAGTTTTTGCAGTAGGGACAAGAAAACCTTAATTTTTTTTTGGTAGTGAGTAACACGTACATTAGCTATTTTAATAAGTTGTACCACACGGCTATCAAGCCCCTCGTAAAATTTGGGGCCACCTGTTCGACTGTAGGGCGCTGTACGTCGAATTGAAGTTTTGGGGTGCATTATTCAATTCAATTCAATTCAATTCATTTTATTTACTCCCATTTTTACATATGGGTGTAAGAGTGTACAAAGGTGTACAAAGGAGTGTACAAAGGTGTACAAAGGGTGTAAGAGTGTACAAGGGTGTACAAAGGGTGTAAGAATACACCCTTTTTCCTGGGAGTTTATCCTATCTTCGTTATATCCGTATCTTTTCTATATCCGTCTTTTTTAATCCACCTTTTTTATATATCAACATATTCGCTGTATTCGTATCTTTGATATATCCGTATCTTCGTAATATCCGTATTTTCGTGATATCTGTATCTTCGTTACGTTCGTATCGTTGCAATATCCGTATGCTTGTTATACCCACCTCGCTATATCCGCTGTGAAAGAGACATTTTCTTGTCAACCTTTCACTCACTTGAGCGGTGCACCGGGGATTTCTTCGTGCATGCCAGATCCCGAGACGAGCTCGGAGTCGTCGGACGACGGAGGGTGGATGGGCAGCGAGACGGGCAGTCTGTTGCTGGGGTCCCTGGAGGAGGCAGCGAACTTGGGTGGCCTCGGGGCCGTCCTGGGGATGTCGTTGATGGGCTGACACTCGCACTCCGTGTGGTTCGTGAACAGGAGCTTGGTCACGGAGTTGCGGAGGCCCACTTCGCCGTTCTGGTTCTGCAGGTGGATCGTCTGTCAAGGGGAACGAGCGGTCGAGAGAGCTCGTTGGGCAAAGTTCCGCGATTCACATCAACATGCGAGAATCCTGCCGTCGACTCTACCATTTTTTTTCTAAATTTATGTATGCTAGTATTTTACAGAAAAAAAAAAGTATATATATAAGAAAAAAAGACAGAAGGGTCTAAGAGCGGTTGTAACATTTAGAAGATAGATCAGGTTACTGCAATGTAAAATGCATGTCCATTTTAGTCAAAGGATGGGTACCTGCCACAACAATAAACATATGAAGCGTCAAGCTCATTGTTTTTTTGTGCGGTTGACGTTTTTGAGCCAAACAATTTCTTTTTGTATTGTTGGACCGGCTCCATAACTCGCACCGATTGGCCCTCAAATTGTTTTACACTAAACTAGACACACGGAAGTTATGATAGTGTAAGAAATCACTCCAATAGTTTCTTATAGGGTGGGTTTACAGTGTAGGGGTGGCAAACTTCTACTGCACACTGTCCAGAGTTTCTGGCTGTGCTCCAGACCGCGGTACAAAAAAAATACCAATAATTGGTCTTCATTTATATAAGTTCAGTTATTGGCAGGGCGACTGATATTATAAGTCATTAAGCGTCACTGGCAGAAGCTGAGGACATATTTGCTCTTTTTTTTGTCACGGTTAAGGAAGCACGATACCGATTTCCCTCCCGATCGGTTCAATTAGATAAAAGAGAGTTATGATAGATTGCTTCGATGACTCCGATAATGATACCCGATATTCCGCCGCCGCCTTTGCCCATGCATCGTATCGTTACGGGGGTATCGGAGGAAACGGAACGATCTACTCAAACCCTCTAATATGTAGCTAAAGGAAGACCAATAAGGGAGTACAATTCACAGGCCGCAGGGTGGAGGTTAAAAATCAAGATCATTTAAATCGCGATTTAAATCATGACTTAAGTCGTAATTTATACTATGATTTCAATCGCGATTTTAGATTGCACCGATATTAATATGATGATTAAATCAATTTCCTCTAAAACAATCAAGAAAATATTTTTTACCGTTTGTCTATCATTTTATGCATCCATGGTTGTATTTAAAGCAGCCATAGTAAAAAAAAGTCGTTTTAATTTACAGTACAGTCGTTGGTACAGAGGGCGATAGGGGCAACACGTCACGGCGAAGTAGTTGTGCGTTCACGGCGCTCACGCACCGTTCGGTGCGGGAACAAAAGCGTTCTGAACACAAAATGGACATCTGTTTTGTTCTGAAGGTTTTTTGCCTTGTTCCATTTTGTTCCGAACGCTTTTCTGTTGTTCCATTTTGTTCCGAACGCTCTTGTTCCTTTTTGGTTCCGCAGCGTCTGAAAGCGAGTCTGCCAGCACGGGCTCTTGGCATTGGCAGTGTTCTACAGCAACATTTTGTTATAGGCCATTCGCTTTCTTCCTGAGGGCGCCTGCAGTGGGCATGGGGTACTATACAAAAACCCTGTGGCGTAGCTCAGTGCTAACGCACGCCAGCGGATACAGGTTCTATTCCTGCAAACGGTGGGGGACCTTTTTTTTTCTTAAAGAATTCGACAACATCGAATACGGACGCCCTACATCGCCAATTAGACCATCAACTACAGCTACAATGTCAACATCGGACGTCGTTTCCAGGCGTGGGAAGAACCCATAACAGATATCGCTGCAAAAGAATTCGAGTGATACAGAAGGTCCCTCTTTTTAGCTAAAGTGATTTAAATAAATCGTATAAATGTGATTTTTTTTTTTTTTACCTAGATTGGCGGGTATAGTGGAGTTCGCGGCTGAGCGTGTGCTGGCGGCGAGCTTCCACAGTTCTTTTGCAGCCCCCCCCCCCCCCCCCCCCCCCCCCAAGACCGCCGTCATGATTGACGGTCTTAGCCTACAAGCGTGAGCTCATTCTGAGAGCACTAGCGCACTCAAATATGGCGTCAAGTAAATACGCCGGTGCACGACGAGGCAGTATACACAAGGAAGCTTCTGAAAGTGTAGGGCATGCACGGACTTACCAAAACAAGGTTCCCACCACTGTTTGCTTGTGTACATTTACCCCTACCGATTCGAGTGGGAGGCGGGCGAGATACTGCCTTCTGACCGGAATTTTTCCGCAGACTAAACGGGGGCAGAGAATTCCTCCCAACAGGAAAGCGAGGTTCTCCAGTAACCCTTTCGAGAAGCGACCGCCGAGGTGGCGCCCCGGGCCCAAAGAAGACTAGAGAACCGCTGATTAACGTCCCGTCTGAGACCCTCCGCGAGACACGGGTGTATGTATACGCTCACGAGAGAAACCGTCGGACGCTGCGCCGACTACTAAAAGGTGCGCCAAACGGTAATTAAGAGCAACAACAACATCATTAACGAGTCTAGGACCGACGATTAAAGGGAACGGTCGTCGTATCGGACCGGTTCCCTTCGCCGCCCGCCTCGATCTCTAGCTTCAACTAGACGCACGACGCGGGGAGGTGCATCGCGGACTGGAATATACCGGATCACGGGAAAGAAGTGCCCGGAACGATAATGACGGCGAACCCTCGCGATGCTTCCCGACATTTCAAGAAGGTACACGGTACAGGCACACAACGGCTGTCACAACATACTGATACATCATCCAAAAGCCAATCTGTAAAACACCCGTCTCAGGTGTGTGACACGGTGTTCGTGTCACGCTGGGACGCCACCTGAGACCATGACGTCAAGGAACACCCTGCCATCACGTAACGCCCTGACGTCACGTGACGCGCGTTCGCGATCCGACGCGACGATTTGCCCTCTGAATTTAGCGCGGAAATTTCTCGACTGAATTCCGCGGAACGAGTGTTTCCCGCGACGTAACGTTGTATGACGTCACGGCCCTACAGGAAACGGCCCTACACAGGATCCGCTGCGAAACCTCGCCCATAACGGCGATCGCCGTAAAAGCGCAGGACGTCAAACACCTTCCGTTTGCCGGGCGCGATCGTTTCTAAGCAATCTCTAAGAAAGTTTACGAATCAATAGCTCACTCATTCCCCAAAAAGGACAAGCGTTGAATATTGCACGTATAAAAAAGGAAAAAGAAAAACATAATTTTTTTAATTGAGTAAAATTAATTTAGTTCTTTTAATTACGATTAATTTTATTTAAAACACTGTAACTAGAAAATAGTGACTGCATTACTACATGTATTTTTCAACGTGGCTGATTGATTGATCAATCCATCTGATCACTGATAAAAATATGCAGAAAAAATAATTGTAAATTTAAAGTAAAATTTAATTGACTATTTTCTATTGATGTAACCCCAGACATACAAAACAAAACCAGTTTTTTTTTTATGTGCTTGCAACAAGACATTCTGTCTTGAGCGGTCAGAACCGAAGTCGGTTATAACGAAATAGCGGATATAGCGAAGTGATTTCCGATTCCCGTTGACTTTGATATAACCCGTCTCGACATATTTTTTCTAGTTTTCGTTTCTTTCGCGTTCTGATCTGCTTGCAATAGGACGTTGCGTAACTGACAACGAAGTGGAAGGTAGAAAGGAAGCTCAATGATCCGATTTGCTCAAAAGGGCGATGCTTTCTGCTCTTGTTCGGCCTATTATAAACATTTCTTGCTTGATCATTTTTTTTATTTCAGTACAAAACGAAGGCACATAGAAAGCATCAAATGATAAACAAACGCTAAATAAAACTTTTTTTTTTTTTGCGGAATGATTTTTGTGGGAAAGGTTTGATTTAAATGAGCATTGTAATTCTGGTCTGATTTAAATGACGATTTAAATTATGATTTTAATCACGATATAAATCGTCTTGCTTTTTATTCTCCACCCTGATAGGAAGTGCTCGAGGCAAACTACAAAGTATCTGGTAGATGAATTTGTGCTTCAGGGCGAAGAGTGCTTTTAACACAGAATGTGTTAAATGAATGTCACTTAAGCGTTTCCGTTTACATTATTAGAATCTTCCTTGACAGGCACATCTTCGTTCCTCTCACATTCATCGTCAATTAAACACGGGTCAATGCAAAGCATTTTCTACATTTCTTGGCCGAAGAGTATACTTCCATGCTTCAGTGGTAACAGGCAGATGCCCCTGGATTGTGGAATGCGTGAGGCGCAGGATACCAGTCGCCAGCGCATACATGCAGTACTAGCTTAAGTACAAAGTGCTTTATATATTAACTCTGCAAACCGAAAGACAAACGCGAGGCTTGGACAGTCCAAGCCATATTATTATCTCCCTACAGCCAATAATATTGTTGCATCAGTTTATAAGAACGCCGTAGAGCGTTCATATTTGAACGAAATGACGCCGCTTCATGACAGCATTAGGTGGCTCGCGTCTCGCAGACGCTAGCTAAAGCATTTCTTTTTGGTCGCGTTTTGTGGGCGCTACAGTGCCCCCTGGTTGAGAGAAACAGGCCTACACATGAGGTGCATACTTACGTAGAAGTGTAGCGTCACCTCCTGCATGGTCCTGGGGACGCACTCGTACTGCTCGTTGTCGCAGCAGCCGGAGTCGTCGCCGCACCGGTGAAGCACCGTGCAGCGTGGCAGGTACTCCTTGCTCGGGTCGGAATAAAACTCCTTCACGTGCACCACGCGCGTTCGAGGCACCCTGCAACGGGCTGTGGTCCGGATGCGCAGGAAATGCTCGTTGGCGCTACGAACGTCTTCCAGCTCTGGAAGAAAAGGACATTTTGTTAGTTGCAACGAAAGTGTGATAGCACTTGACTGGGTATTTGACGAGAAGCTGTTTCCTTTGGAATTTAGCGGATATATGTCTCAGCTAAATTTATCGGGGGAAATGTGACGTCACGTCATGTGCCACTGTGGCCTTCGACGATTGTGACGTCACATTACACCATGACGTCATGCCGTGTGCCATTATGGCGACAGGTGACATCGGGGTGATTTCCCCGCCTAATTTTGAGGGGAAATGGATGTCGCGCGACCTGCGTTATGGGACGTCAGATCGCACAGCACCGTGATGCGACCGTCAGGGGACGTGAATTTTCCCGCTAAATGCGGGGAAATCGACTTCGCGTAAAGCCATGATGTTACGTGACACCACTACTTTAAAATGTGACGTCGATTTCCCCGCTAAGTTTCGTGAAGAAATTGATATCACGTTACGCCACGACGTTACGTAACATCGTGATGTCATGCGGTGAGACCAACACGAGTAAGAAAGGCCTGTGGTGGTCTCACCGTGAAAATAACAAAAAGACGCCTCCACCAAGTTACCATAACTGTGACTATTTGAAATGGTACATTTTAGATGCCTCAAAGTGGAGCGGTCGTTTCGCCAAGGAAACGCAAAGTTCCTTACCGAAGTGTCGGTTGCCAATTTTTAGGTTTTTTTTAAGATTCCTTTTCGCGTACCTTCCGTCAGCTTTGACCATACGTTCGGGTTTTGTTTGTACGACCTCATATGAAACACGGAGCAAAGTGCCTGTCCAAAGTTTCAGCGTAAAGGTTGGAAAGAAAGAGTTGTTAGAAGCTTTGAGTTGGCCCTTCCTAAAAACTACGGACGAATATAAACAAAATAGCTGGAGGGCCTGACAAGGACTTAAACGAAAAGAAATATTAAAGGCATCCAGAGGCGGGGAAGCGGATAGGAGGGTGAAAGGTGTTTTGAACAGTTTTCCTGGCCTGTTGCGCGGGTCAGGCAAGTGAAAAACCTTGTTTCATACGACCAGTTCAACTGTATCCTGACCAAAGAATTTCCGATGACGCTGAAACAAATAATAAACGATCCGATCAGCCTTTTGTGTTGGTGCACAAATCTTTTAGGGACATGTAAAGCTTCGCGCGCAATGAAAAAAAAAAAAGAACAAAAAAAAAAACTTGAGCAGCTAATTTTGTATGCCCTGAATTTAAATCAGATTACCGTCAGCGCACCAGAGTATCCTGATTAAATTCAGGCTGTGAACGGAACAAAAATATAAATGACAAATAACAGTCCAGTATGGCTAGGAAAACACGACAAATATACACTCCTGACCGACACGACAGAAATGGTCCTTTCAGATCCCCGTGAAATATTCGCAATCTGTACCACTCGATGAGTGATACACTGTGCTCTTTTGTCGCCGCGGTTAATGACCCTCACGCGGCTAGGCAGTGGCAACCGCCGCCCGACTCATAAGGTCAAGCAGTGTCCGTCTATCCATCTACCTGTCAGGTGCTAACAACGCGTATATTATTATTTTTGTATTATTACATGTTACCCTCATAGCGCCATGAGGCATTATTGCGGGGGGGGGGGGGGGGGGGGGGGGGTGAGGGTACATTTATACGAGAGATACACTCGATTAAAATCGCACGGAAGAAAGCAAGTTTGCACATCAAAATTGAGCTACAAAATCATGACACTTCAACAAACGGAATCCACATTGATATTAAAAGAAAGCCACCAAAAAAAAGACTAAAGAGGACACTTAAGACTACTTACGTGTAGGAATGCGAAAGCATTCCTACACGGCAGCGTATTCCTACAAGCTGCGCGCCAAGTCTTCCTTTTTCACACGGCGCTCTGGCGGTGACGTCATGCTCCCCAACTGCGCAGGCGCGGCGAACCCCGCGAGCTCCACGGCTTCCATGACGATGCATCTGCGTTGCTGGGCTTTTGGCCAATGGGAATTTAACTGCCGTTTCGCTGGCCAATGGGAATTCGACTGCCGTTTCGCTGTTACAGACGTTTACAGAAAACGCCAGCTTCGCCCCATGGGACAGTTATTGGTTTCGCATTAAAAGTAAGTTTCGGTGCAGGCAAAAGTATAAATACATTTTAGTGAAAAACCCGAAACTGAGGTATTGAGACATAAAGGTATAAAAACATGCATATCACTCCATTGCGCAATTGGGGAAAAAAAGGAAAAACTTGTATTTTATGTCGATCTTAACAATTATCACATTTACAGGGATCTTGAAAAACAGAGCAGACTTAAACACATTGTTGCAGACCAAGCACTCTGAAAACGCACTTTCACAGAAAGAAAATTTACTTTTGTTCCGCCAAAATTTCACGAGATAGTTTTTCTAAAGAAGGGCAGTAGATGAAATAGGAGTAATATCATCAGGCACTTCGTTTCATTGTTTAATAGTAGCAGGAAAAAATAAGAATGTGAAGACATTGATTCTTGCTGTAAACTCTAATTTTCTTAGAATGATCAGGTCTGTGAGAGACAAAGTGCGGTGGTTCGATGAATTTAGATTTATCCAGTCCAGTTTGATCATGGTCTATAATATGTAAACTTCTAGGCGAAGACGGCGTCTGTTATAATTATTTGACATATCTCATATCAGTGTTTGTTGGGTGTCCAATTTGATCATGCAAACATTAATTCAACGCAACACATTTTTGAAGTTTTACCATGATTCGCTTTAGCGTCTAGAACCTACAAGGGCGCATCACCTCGAAGGCAACGATCTGTATCTAGAAGCGTTTACGTCCATCTGACGTCGTCAAAATTGACCTCGGTATTAAAAAAAAATAATAAAAAAATAAACGGCGGTATTTATATTTAACCGAAAAAGGAATAACGGTCGTTCTAAGACATAAAGATACGACTATAGGATTTCCAGTTCAAGGTCAACAAGCAAGTTCGTCACATGCGAGACATGTGCCGAACTAAATGCCGCCACCGCTATAAAACCGGCAACGTGTCCCCAAGGAAAACAGCTCGGGACTTCATTTGGACCCACAGTCATTTCCTCACAAGAGTGAATACATAATAAATTTTGACTCGTAACTTTCGGGTCGGCCACCTTTAATGACTCAGACCTTCGAAACGGGGCTTCTCGCAGCCTCTTTCCGATGTCGTGGTGGAGTCGGCAACTTGATATCAGGGTTGGGCAGTATCGCGATACAAATGTATCGCGATAGTATTTCAGAAATACATTTCGTATCTGTATTTCTGTATCGCGATACATTTTTTTCACCAGTATCTGTATTCCTGTATCGAAATACATTTGGAATGTTTCTTTGTATCGCGATACAATCAGGATGAAATGTATTTCGTTACATTTCTTGAGAAATACTCCACCCCCCCCCACCCCCCCCCCCCCAAAAAAAAAAAAGAAAAAGAAAAAAGAAACAAGTCCGAACGCATCTTTTTTTCTTTTACTTCTGAGGGCGCCAGAATCAAGGAGATGCTGGGGCATTGTTACTATGCTGACCAAGGTTCCTTTTGATTCTGCAAACTATTTTTCTATGCGTCCTCTTATCTCTTCTGAGAAGTGTTCCGTAGTAGGGTACTCGAAACAGGTGGCGTGCCAGGAGTGGAGTCAGAGCGTCTGCCGCTGGTCCTTAGGTAGGGATTTCTTGAGTCATTGTTTGCTGGCATCCAATGCCCGCTGCTAACCGTCTCTCTCACCTTAGCGTACAGAGTACACCGAGCCGGCAAAGCTGAGTCACAGTCCGTTGCAGCACGAGCCTGGCGGTGGTTGACTTGAAGTAGTAGGGTGACTCACGCAGTGAAGTTCAACACATATGCGAATGCGTCTGCGGCTGCGCCCGTAATGTTGCACGACTCAAGGGTACGTCATCAGCCGACGTGAACGTGACCCGCTGGTCTGGTGATCCGAGACCCAAAAAACAGGACAGACGTGACCTCGCTGTGTCATCCCAGACTACGTACTCCCGCGACTCCTCTCGAGAACGCTGTTTCTCGGACAGCTCGTACCTGTGCGGCAATATGAGCTCGCAATCCACGAGGTCTCTGTTTGGATAATGCTAGGAAAAACTTGAGTACTGCAATCCGTGCGTCGGTGGCGGAGGGTCGGTAGTACGAACCTTCAGAAGAGGGATGCTACCGTATCGTTTTTTCAACCGTAAAAGAAGATAAGACATGTATTCCAAGATGCCTCAGGTGGTCCACTATTCTCAAAAATTCCAAATGACACTGCATGCACGATCTTCAACTAGGTAACCTACAACGAAAGTACGTATTGTCCTTTGATACAGCAGCGTGGTAAATTTTCATGTTCAAGGCCACACCTACAGATAAAGAATACTAGTTCATTCCACCGTGACATCATGTGATCAATGTTGACAGGATTCCCTCGTCCGACAGACAGGATATCATGGAAGGGACCGCGGTCAGCCCTTGATGGAACGTTTTTTTGGGCCCATTGAAGACCCTTTGTCGTTCCAAACCAAGGCAAAAAGCCAAGCCTACAGGAAAGTAATTTCGGGATCGAAAACATCCACTTCAAACTTTAAGCTTCATCTCAGTTGGCGTCTCAAAAAATTTGGAAAATGTATTGCACTATCAGTATTTCTGTATTTGTATTTCTGCCCTCCCTAAAATGTATTCCTGTATTTGTATTTCCAAATACTTTTTGCCTATTTTTAAAATGTATTTCCGATACGTATCGCGATACATTTTTACAGATGTATTTTAGTATCAGTATTTTAGCTACTATTTTAATGTATCCCAGTATTTGTATTTCCAAATACATTTTTGAGTATTTCTGCCCAACCCTGCTTGATATACTCGGTTTTACTTTTACGATGGAATGCCGCGGTCGCTAAGAGCTATCCCAACCAATCCAGCGCTGCCAAGCTATCACGTGACTACGAACCCAGCGCGTCGCTGCGTCCTCCTTCCGGAAGGCACGTGACACTCACGCGGCATTTGATTGGCTTCGTTGACCCGTAGTGTCGGCTGCGGTC